TGATGCTTTTCTTTCTTTAACACAGAGAGTCACAGTTGGAGTGTAGGGAGAGGTTTATTCAGTTCTTTTAAAAGTGCCTTACATCATGACTTGAGGTAAATCCATATATCATTATGAAGAACATTTCAGGACACGACAAACCTGCGTTCACATATTGATTGATACAATTTCCCTGTGTTTTTAACGTTTTTTTTTAATGTAATTATATTTAAGAAGAACACCATGGCACATGTTACAAAAAACACACGGAAACTCCAGGGAAGATCGAAAACCAGCAGACCTTAATGAACTGAGTGGTATTTTGAATCACAGTAGAGGTCCTTTTTTCATCGCTTACAATGTCATCGCTTAATGCTATAGCACTCTGTCATTTGAAAATCATTCACATATTAAACAAAAAGAACAAACTTATTGCTTTTTCCAAACATTCTATAAAACACTTGCATTCATGTGAAAACTGTCTTGATAATGACTGTATTAGGCAGGGCACAGTGTGAGTGGGGTTCACTCGTATGGTATTTTTGGAGGGGCGACTGGAGAAAGGGATTGGGGTTTTTAGTACACCCAGGAGACTGGTACCCACTGCGGGGATGAGGAGGCTCTCTCGATGGCTTCCTCTACACCCTTAACACTCTCGTCTACATCGTTGTTGATGAGCACTTCATCGAAAAAGTGACAGTATGCACTGAGGATGCCGTCGGATTCCTTCTGGATGTTCTGCACCGCCTCTGACTGGAAAAGTAGAATGGAAATCTTATGAGTGTAAAAATGAAAGATTGTTGTGTTATAACCTTTAGGTCATAAGCATGGCTAGGAATGAGCTTCTGAGGCTTATGTCTTGAATAAATCAGTTTCTAACCTGATTGGCAGTGTTAGTAGGAGCAATGAATATCACAAGAGGAGCGAACTCTGCCGTTCTGAGCACTTTCAGCATCTGGAAAAAAACAGAAAGAGTTCAGAAAACCAGTCAATGTCCAAGCTAGAATTAGTGACACTGGAAGGTTCATAAAAAACAAAAAACAATGTGAGTGATAATTACAAAACATATCGCCACAATGCTATGATTCAATTGCTATACTAATTAAATTGACAGTTGACTCGACAGTGTGGCATTACCTGCGGTTCCACATCCAGCACAGCGATTTTCCCTTGCTCGTGAATCTTGTGGACAGTTTCGATCTTAGTCCCGAACATGTGTCCCTGGTAACTGCCGTATTCAATTAGCTCATTCCCGATGATACCTTTGGTCATTTCATCATTGGAAATAAAGTAGTATTCTTTGCCATTTTCCTCGTCCTTCTTCTGAGGTCTAGTGGTGTCTACAAAGAAAAATAGTGTGTTTTTATGATTCATTATATTTTAATTATTTCGTCTTGTTTTCCAGGAAATATTCTTAAAATAAGATCTTTGTAAGACTTGTTTTAAGAGAATATATCTTAAAGGGGTCATATGATGCGATTTCAATTTTTCCTTTC